TCAGTCATGGCCTCAGGTCTGCCATAGTAATGTGACAGGCACTTTCACACCTGGTTTCAGTAGTTTCCCTTCATGCCGGCTGGCGATCGCTCTTCGCCTCTCCATCGTCCAGGCTTCCCTTCTTTTCCGCTTGACTTTCCAGGCTCCTCATGCCCTGAAAGGTCCCTAAAAAGCAAATGAATGGGATCCAGGGACGGAGACCGCTCTCCCTTCACCCTTTCACCATGACATCACCACCAGAAGCCTCCTCCCCCTTCTCTCTCATTTGTTTCCCTCTCTCATTCTCTCTCTCCAGCTGTCTCTCATTTCTCTCTCCTCCTTCTCTCTCATTTGTTTCTTTCGCTTTTTCCTCTTTTATTCTCTCCCTCCATCATTTTATCATTTTTCATTTTTCTCCCCTTTCCTGACTCATTTCTCCCCCTTCGCTCTCTCCCCTTCTCTCTCTCTTCCCCCCCCTTTTCTCTCTCTCATTTCTCTCTCCCTCTCCCCCTTCTCTCTCTCATTTGTTTCTCTTTTTCCTCTCATTCTCTCCCTCCATCATTTTCTCTTTTCCCTCTCTCTTTCTCTTCCCTTTTCTCTCATTTCTCTCTCCCTCTCCCCCTTCTCTCTCTCTTTCTCTCTTTTTTTCCTCTCATTCTCTTCATTGTTTTCTCATTGTTTTCTCTCTTTTTCTCCCCTTTTCTCTTATTTCTCTCTCCCTTACCCCCCCCCTCTGTATATCTCCCTCTATGTCTCTCCCCCTCTCCCTCTCTATCTTCCCCTCTCTCTCCCCCTCTCTCTGTATCTCTCTCTATATATGTATCTCTGTGTGAGTGTGTGTGTGTGTGTGTCTCTCTCTCTCTCTCCCCCTCCCCCTCTCTTCTCTTTCGAAAGCTGAAGCTTGGCAAAGCTGGCAAGCTCTCCTTGGGGCTCTTCGCTACTCTTTTTCTTTCTTCTTGGCAACTTTTTGGAAATCTGGGCTGGCTGAGGAACAAGCGCAAGCCACGGCAGAGGCTTCCCTTCAGGCGACCCTCCTCCTGCTCCCCCTCCTTCTCCTCTCGCGACCCCCTGGCCGGCTGTGGCGAGACCAGGAGGCTGTGCGCAAGCAGGGAGACCTCCTCAAGTGAGCAGCTGCCTGCCCTGCCTGCGCTGTTGCTCTCTTTGGCTGAGCCCGGCCGCTCACTTGAGGGTCTCCAGGCCAGTGTGCACCCTCCCAGCCCTGCTACAGCCGGCTAGGGAGTCACAAGAGGAAGAGAAGGGAAGCCTCTACTGCAGCTCACGTTCATTCCCTCAGCCAGCCCAGATTTCCAAAAAGTTGCCAAGAAGAGAAAAGGAGTTGTGAAGAGCCCCAAGGAGAGCTCACTGGCTTGGCCCAGCCTTGGCTTTCAGAGAGAGAGAGATATATATACAGACACACACATACACAGAGAGAGACATAGTGAGAGAGGGATACAGAGAGAAGGGGAGACCGCCTGACCCCAATAAATGCCTTAGTAATTAGCTGTGGAGTTTTGCAATTATCTTCTGTGGAGAAATATTAATAAGATATGATAACGTTGAAAATCTAAATCTAGTTAGCATTCAAAATAATCGCCCCAGGGGATTGCTGTGTAGTGGACACGATTTCATTTTTAAGAGCAGTGTACTGTATTTGAGTAGTTTAATAATGTTTTTTGCTTTGGCAGATGCCCAGTAATATGAAAAAACAAACAGCTAAGCAGTTATGCATAAGCCATGAACTGCAAAATGGTTTGAAAAGTTGAGCTTATTAGTTCAGATCACAAAGCTTTTTGGCATTATTAGAACTGGGTGCTGAACTCTTACCTTTATGAATTTGCATACATAAAAAGATTGATATCCTCGGATGGATAAAATGAAAAAAGCAAATAGAAATGCTCTTATCTTCAAATAAACCACATTCATAGTGCTATATAGCAAAGTTAATAAAACATGTTTTTAAACTTGGGAAGATATCATATTCTGATTCTTGTTAGCCCCATTTGCCACAGTGTGTCAACCATCCCATTTGCATATGCAGCAAAAGAAACTCCTAGGACATTATTTTGCCAAGAATATAACTTTACTGATATATCGATACAGGCACAGAAGAAGCTAAGCTAGCTCTGAGGTTTTCCCACGAAAAACAGCATAGTTAATTTCCGCTTTTCCCTATTTGGGCCACCCATTTTCCACCAATCCAAAATGTTCTTTTTATTTTGAAAAAACAATCTGCGCCTTCAGAAGATTCCCATTGCTCAGTCTTGATGCGTCAGGATTTTCTCACAAAAATTCCTCATTCCTCCCAGCTCCCAATACATTCCAAGCATTCCCCCCCGCCTGCATTTCTGTTGTCAGGTTGCAAGTAGAGGTGTGTTTCGAGTCAGCCTTGACAGAGTGACAATATTACTCTACTAATCATGAGATATCATTTGATTTCAGGTTAATCAATGACTGGACGCCTTAACTTTGAAGTGGATCTAGAAATGTGTGACAATATTTTGTTTAATGATCAAAATTTTTCACAACAGTTCAACATTTTTATCTCATTGTAAAAGAATTGATGGAGGTTTTAAAACTAATTTCTTATCTAATTAAAAGTAAACTTCCTTTGAATTGTACTTCCTGTGTTTCATAACTGCTCTAGTTAATTCTGATTACATAACATGTTGCTTCTTTTAGGGTTGAAATGGGAATTGTTTAACAAGAACAAGAAAGCCCCATAGGGCTGCCGTTATTTTGCCTTCTTTAATGCACTGACTGTTCATTCAAGAAAATCATTTTTTTTTTATTTTTTTGCAAGAGCTGATAGTTCCAAAGCTGTTTACATCTTTGATCTATATATAATCAGGTCTTGTTTTTCTTAAAGTATCTTAGCTCTGGTCCAGTGTATTATTTGAATCTGAATGAATAACTTGTATTTAAGAAACAATTATTGCAGAATTGTATTACACTGTTCTGGTTTTATTTCATATTTTAGGCCCAGAATTAGGGATACAAAAGTCACGAGCCTTGTATTATTTCAACACATACCATATAGCCAAAGATTGGCTGTGATTTGTTTTTTCATCTTCTGTGCATTTGTCAGCTAATAATATTAACTGATGGTTAATATTAAGATAGACTTTTCATTTCCATTTTAAGAGCATTTTGTCAGACAGATAATAGCATACTTAAATTGTTTCAAGTTTGACCAATGCTTTAAGAAAAAGATGGGAGAAGACAAACTTCTAGACTCTACATTTCCAAGAAGTTTACTTTTATTTTATTATAAGAAGTATTTTTGTCTCCATGTACAGGTAGTCCTCAAGTTACAAATGTAATGGAGGCTGCCTATTCCATTCATAACCCGAGGATTCGTGGGAGTGAATCTCGTACTTTGAATATGATCACTCCCTCCTTTTGCCCATGCATTCACTAATCAAATGCGAGGCTTGTTAAGTGCACATGAGGTATCTCGGAGTGGGGAAGGCCATGTGGGGGAGGGACTAGTGATGGAATAGGCCACCTGCTTCAGACCACCCAAGGCTTCCCCCAACCCATTGAAATATCTCATGCTCCTCACAATTGCTTCTTTCTCCCCCCACCCCACCTGACACGCCAGTTACTGACCTCGTGAAGATCTGTCTCCTCTCCAGTGTTTCTGTTTTTTTTGCCGGCAAGCAGCGAGAGCAGAGGGAGAATAGGACAAGTGTGCCCTGCTCAGCTTCTCTGATCATCGAGTCTGCCTGCCACTTCTGGAGCGGCGGGCAGCCTCAATGAGTCTCCTCCAAGGGCTTCCAGGCTCTGTTTGGAAAAGCATTTGCACGAAGTGAGGCTTTGGGGGCAGCAAACTCACATTGCTCCAAGTCCTTCCTTAGCATGCAACCATGTTTCCTGCAAAGACTGTAACCTTCTGGGTGCCCTGATCCCTTGGGATGTCAGGCAACCATTCTCTGAACAAGCAGATGGGCACCTGAATTCGTGCAAGACCCTGCACCCCAGAAGTTTCCAGTCTTCATCTGGGCAAAAAGTATTTGAGTGACCCTGGACCCTGGGGGAACAAATTGCTCTGTTTCCAACCACTCTATTTCCATGCAGACAAAATTTGGAGTCTCCATAAGGACAACAAGTGTTTGAGCGGCCCTAGGGCAGTTTCCAACCACCCCAGGGTTGCTTAAATACTTGGTGCCCCTGATGGAGACTGGAAACTTCATCTGCATGGAAATGGGGCACTTGAAAATGGAGCTTTTCTTCAGCAGAGGCCTCGACGAAAGGCCTTTCCTGGCAAAAATGGAGTTCCGGAGAGACGCACATATCCTCTGGGGGCTCCGTTCTCAGCAGCAAAGTCTTTTTGCAAAGATGGCAAAAGGCTTTGCAAATAGAGGGAAAGGTTCAAAATTTCAGGCCTTCCCTCCATTTGCAAAGCCTTTTGTTGCAACTCTCATCCAGGCCTCCCATTTACAGAGGCCTAAAGTACGGTGAGATCACAAGAGATCAGTAGCATGAATTCTTGCACTCCTGATCTAGTGGGATTTTGTGGTACTTTAGGCCTCCATTCTCTGCCTCTACACCAAAGGCCAAGAAAGCAAAGGCTCTCAAGATCTCCGCAAGGTCTTCCGCAGGCCTAGTGCCTATGGAGACCAGGCATGGAGGGATGGAGGGGGAAATAGGCAGGGTGAACGTTGCGGAGTCTCTATAGTCATTCATAAGAGCGAACAACTGCTATGGTGCTGCTATGTTTGTAGTTTTGGGATCTGTTTGTAAACATTAGGGTGCACTTATCACATCACTTCAAATGTTCGCTAGGGAATGCTTCGGGGATTACCTGTATTATCTGCACGGAGCTTCAGTAGTGCAATTTTTCATGGATTGAATTTCCCGTAATGAATTTGATCTGAACAAAAACTACATTGAAGGCATTCTTACAGGACCTACTAATTTTCTAGTATTATTTAAAACATCATATGAGAAAACATGATGAGATTGGTATAAAGTAGGAATGGTTCTTTTTGTAATTATTTGCATTTCTGGTTCTCTCACAGGTGGAGATTTATTACAGCTTGACACGCTTTTAGACTGGTGGAGAGAGAAGAATGGCTCCTTCTGTTCACGGCTTATTATAGTCTTAGACTGTGAGAATGCTCAGCCTTGGGTTAAAGAAGTCAAAAGAATCAGTGACATGTATATCGGAGTGCAAGGAGCAGAACTGGCTAAAGTAGTAGACATAGAAGAATCAGACCCTCCCCACATTGGTGATTTCACCCAAGATTGGGTGGAATACAATTGTAATTCCAATCATAATATCAACTGGTTTGAAAAGGGGCGTACTGTGAAAGCTGTGTATGGAGTGTCAAAAGGGTGGACTGACTACACTTTACATTTGCCGACTGAAAGTGATATTGCCAAACACTGGATGATATATTTCCCCCGTATCACATACCCATTGGTTCATCTTGCAAACTGGTTCTGTGGGCTTAATCTCTTCTGGATTTGCAAAGCTTGTTTTAGGTGCTTAAAACGATTAAAAATGAATTGGTTTCTTCCTACGGTATTGGATACAGGACAAGGCTTTAAACTCGTTAGATCTTAACTAAGAATCAAAAGTGAGAGCTCCTACAACTTGAAACATGATTGGCTTATAACTTTTTTTATTTGTTACATTTTACTTTCTGAAGAAACGTTACTTACGTGGCTATATTCCTTTTTGTATTTTCTTGAGCAAATTTCAAGATTTCACAAAAACAAGAAGAACTCCATTTCAAAACAAAAACAGCATAGATGTTAAGTGAAATTTGTAACCAAATTGGATTTGAATTTCATGAGAGCCATTAAATGTGACCGTGGACTTGAGAGATAGCTTTGTGTGCTTCTTTGCATTGTAGCTGTCTGATAAAAATTTGTCAAATTTCACACTTACTAAACACTCTGCTCTAAATACTCCATAGGACAGATGTATCCATTTCAGTCCTAGGTCATTGGAAGAAAGACTACTGAATCATGGTCATCTTTTGTTTTGAAAGGTTTCAAAAAGTAAAGCAGCAAAAACCTAAAATAAATCAAGTTATGCCAGATAGAAAGCTGTAAAGCTATTGGCACTTTTAATTCATGTTGAAATGAACTAAAGTGAATGTTACATTTTTCCATGAAACATAGGAGTCTTACATCCTAATCCTAGACAAACGCACAGGGCAATAAGTATTACTGATGTCAGTGGACCTTATTGCCAGTATTCCTAGGTTTGGAAGCATGATGGTTTGTCTTGGAAATAATGCCAAAATTAATTTTTGAATATTTCAAGCCTTAATTAACACAACATCATAAAATAAGTTCATCAAAGCTAAACTCAACAAGGTTAAACGGATACTTTTCTCTGATTTTTAGTGGAGAAAGCAAAGCAATTTTTATTATATTGTTTTCTTCACACTGAAACACATTGATTTTAGTTTTAAAAAATACATCCTTAAACTGCAGAATCTGTTTCTTTGTGGAGCTAGAAAATAATTGAGTAGTAACTAAAATGCATATACGAGAAAACATATTTTCAGTTCATTTTTTTGCTGATCAATTATTAGTTGTAACTATCCACTGAATACTAATTATTTATGCAACCATTTTAGAACTATAAAATTAAGATAAAGTATCCTTACAAATCCATTTAATGTTTCTAATTGTGGGAGTTAAATGGCTTGTTTTCCCCTCTCTTTTACCTTATAAAATGTACAGCACAATGAAAGCATATAGAGTAACATAAAGCTGGCAATATCTGAAGATAATACAACATAATCTGCATTCTTTATTTTTTAATGGAAATCTGTTTTGTAATTATTGATTACAGTATTTTACCTCATACTTTGGTCAAGCACTATAAAATAGATTCAAAATTCATTAAGTGCCATTCCTATGTTTATTCAAATTACTATCAGTTACTACAGAATTTTAATTTAAAATATGCATTAATAGTAATGATACAGCTGAAACTTACTAATTGTACTTTTCTGACTTAAGCCACTTTTCTGTTTAACAGTTCATATATAACAGATTAGGAACAGGGGAAAATTCTTTCTCTCACATTGCTTATTCTATTCAACATCAATGGTCCGCAAAGACCAATGTCCCTAAAGAAATCACTTACTAAAAGACAACACTCAGAGTTATAAGTAAGATCAGCATCATGTTTTTCAGCCGATAATAGCAAATGAAGGATTCTGTGATGATTGAATCAAGATGGAGTCTAACTAAAAATCAGGACATTTTTCTAAAACTCTGCATCCTTTGCCAAGAGATGCCAGAATGCAAATATTAAATAAGTCAAGATTTATAAATAATATGAGAGAGGTAATTAGATGAGATCAGAGTACTTTTGTCCTAAAGTACAGTTTCAGCCAAAAAAAATTATCAGTTTTAATTTCAAATTATCAGTACTTGTTAAACACTAGGTGAAGCAGGGAGAAAAAAATTCCTTGAAAATAGTTTCTGAAACTAGATATTATTTAAAATATTGTTTTAGAACTCATTACATTTCATTTGTTCTCCTTTTTATACACATTTCCTATAACATGCAAGTACATCCAAGTAATTTGGGTCTAAGTGGAAAGTATATTAATTATATCTACAGCAGAACTAAGCCATTTTGTTGATTGTATAGCTTCATTCTTTTCTCAGCATTATTTTATGTGAATTTGAGGTTTTGGTATGCTAAAAGTGATTTAAGAATTTAAGCCTGAATTTACTGTCTAGCAATGAGTAATACTTTTCTTGAAAAAAAACTTTGTTATCAGTTTTTTAATTGAACGTATACTATAAAAGTATTTATATATACACGACTCATTTGTATGATATTTTTACATTTCTGTATTTTCTCATTCTGTATTTAGCCATTTATGGTTTGTTGTTATTTTTTATTAAACTTAATTGGATTGTATAGAAGTGACATAAATCAATTTTCTCCACCTTTCAGGGAGCATGCAGCTAAGCAAAGAGATGTAATAATTTCTTGCTTATTTTCTTTTAATGGGATGTCGCCCTTTCCTTTGACAAAATTATCTTTAGCAAAAGAGCGCCCATACTTAAAAATTGTTCTAACATAGAATAGAATTCTTTATTGGCCAAGTGTGATTGGACACACAAGGAGTTTGTCTTTGTTGCATATACTCTCAGTGTACATAAAAAGAAAAGATAAATTTGTCAAGAATCATAAGGTACAAACCCTAATGATAGTCATAGGGTACAAATAAGCAATCAAATCATACTAGGAGACAATATAAATCATAAGGATATAAGCAGCCATACAGTCATAAGTGGGAGGAGATGGGTGAAAGGAAGGATATGGGAGGATTAATAGTAATAGTAATGCAGACTTAGTAAATAATTTGACAGTGTTGAGGGAATTATTTGTTTAGCAGAGTGATGGCGTTCAGGGAAAAACTGTTCTTGTGTCTAGTTCTGGTGTGCAGTGCTCTATAGTGTCGTTTTGAGGGTAGGAGTTGAAACAATTTATGTCCAGGATGTGAGGGGTCTGTAAATATTTTCACAGCCCTCTTTTTAACTCATGCAGTATACAGGTCCTCAATGGAAGGCAGGTTGGTAGTAATTGTTTTTTCTGCAGTTCTAATTATCCTCTGAAGTCTGTCTGTCTTGTTGGGTTGCAGAACATCTAGTCAAATCTGCTTCCCTGTCAGTGGATTCAAGTTTACCATTTGGGATGAGAAAACCTATATAAAATTAATGAATTTTTGGCATTAATTAAGCTGGTTTTGTACCCTTTAATTTCTCTGTATTTTGTAATATCTAACACCTAACCAAATTGGGAATATTTTTAAATCAGCCAGTGAATAATCAACTTTTCTTAAAACCTTAGCTGGGTTTTGAATACAAACTAGATTCAGTCATTAATATGTTCATTAAATTCAGAATTGCAATTAAGCATCTTAATATATACGCTTATACATTTTCAGTCAATAACATTTAGTTCAAGATTCAGCATATTCAGAATACCTAGAACGAGAATAAAACAATAGAATGTTATAATGTTCAGGGCATTAATAATGTTTTTGCAAAATACAATTTTCTTACCATGAACTTGACAAAAAAAATTAGTGGAAATGCAATAAATTAAATATAGTGTCTGAATTTTAGAACAAATTCTCTTGTTTTTAAGTATCTCTCTTCTGTTGGAAATCATGAGAAACTCATTCCTATATTGGAAAATATCACAAATAAGGAATTGCAATATTTTGCAACAAGTTTTAATAGGTGGACTGTTTTGAACTATACTGTACAAAATAGAAAGCAGCTGGAGAAATATTCCTATTTTGGTTATAAACAGAAAAAAATAAGTACTGGAAAATAAACTTTTCTAAAGAAAATCATAATGTGATTTTTTTAAAAAATCCATTCAATGCAATAGTTATTGGAAGTCTTATGCTTAGAAAATATGTCAAAGACTACAACTGCAAATTACAAACCTCCATCAACATAATTTACTATATTAATTAAAAGAAATCTGGTAGCACCTTTTCCAACTAACACATTTTATTAAAAAGAAAATTTGCAGCCTCTTAAAAAATGTGTTAGTAAAAAAAGGGCAGCAGGTTTTTTTCTGATTTATTTTCCCACCATAGACTACCACATCTCTCCTACAATGTTTTACACTCATAGAAGGTTTGGAGCAGAGGTGGTATTCAGCCGGTTCTCACCAGTTCGTGAGAAGGAAGCGGGGATTTGGTGTGGGTTGCCGAACTGGTAGTGACTTCTGGCTGGCCATGCCCCCAACCTGGTCACACGGTCGCTCGCTTGCCCCGCCTGCCCGATGCTTGCTCATGCACCCAATGCTCACGCCGCTCGCCCTGCCCAGTCACTCCTCCCCTCCTATGTGGCACGCTGGGTCCTTGTGGCTTGCCTTTCTAACCAGCAATGCCTTCCCACATGGTGCCTGCGCCCCAACTGAGCAGCCCTGATCTGCCTGCTCACAGGTAAGCCTGCGAATTGCATTAGGCCCTCCCCCATCATCCTGAACCTTGCCGGGATTCCCCCACTGTCTCCAAACCATGCCGGGCCTCCCCTGCTGTTCTGGAACCTTGCCAGGCCTCCCTGACCGTCCCTGGGCTCGGCTGGCTGGCCTGGCTGCCGGCATGGCCCTATTCCATGGAGCGCTCTCCCTAACATGTGGTGGCCATGGCGCAGTGAGAGCGGGTGGAATCATCCCAGGACTGCACATGCGGTGCACAATTTTCAGCAGCCCCGGGACATCTGCTTGCTCTGCCCTTACACTGCCGCCACCACCTGCTGCCTGTTTAGGTGCTTTGGGAGGGTGCTCCACGGCCATGCCGCTGCCACCACACGCCACCCCCTGCTGCCTGCAGAGGTGCTTTGGGAAGGCGGGAGGGTGCTCCACGCTGCTGCCACCCACTGCCTGTGGAAGTGCTTTGGGAGGGCGGGAGGGTGCTCCATGGCCATGCCACCCACTGTCCGTGGAGGTGCTTTGGGAGGGAGGACAGACACTCCACCACCTGCTTTCTTCCTTTTCCCACCACCTGCTGCTGACTGGACCTCACTGGACCATTCAGTTTGTCCCAGACCAGGTAGGTGTGTGTGTGTATGAGAGAGAGAGAGAAAGAGACAAGAGGGAAAGAAAGAAAGGAAGGAAGGAAGGAAGGAAGAGAGAGAGAGAGAGAGAGAAAGAAAGAAAGAAGAAAGAGAAAGAAAGAAAGAAAGAAAGAAAGAAAGAAAGAAAGAAAGAAAAAGAAAAAGAAAAAAGAAAGAGGAAGAGAAAGAGTGGTGTGTTTAAGAGAGAGAAACAAGAAAGAGAAAAAGAAAGAAAGAATGAAAGAAAGAAAAAGAAAGAAATAGGAAAGAAGGGCGAGAGAGAGACAGAGAGAACTCTGATATTATTTTTAATTGTTCCATTATGTATCATGTGTTAATATTTTACACTGTCCCTACACCTAGAGTGATTTTACTGCCTTTCTTTTGCCCAGGGCTACCACATATTTTTCAGGGATTTACATGCATTCAATGTCTAATAAATATGTGTGTGTTTATTTTGTACATCAGGTTGCATAAGTACTGCTTACCATGAGAAAGAAGCACTCTTGTGATCTTTGACTTTTAGGTTTCCTATCGAACATCAGCCATAATAATTACTGTTTTGAACAATATGCAGGTTGTATTACACAAATGGCTATTTTATATGTGAAATTATGAAATAAATCTGAGTAGAGGTCCTGGGAAAGGTGTCAGAATAACAGAATAACACTTAGAAGGACCTTGGGGGAACCCTATACCATTTCAGAGAAATAGCTGTTTTTTCTTAAAAACTTCCAGTGATTGAGCATCCAGAACTTCTGGAGACAAGCAGTTCCACTGGTTAATTGTTCTCATTGTCTGGAAGTTTCTCCTTACTTTTAGGTTGCTTCTCTTTTTTGTTCAGTTTCTATCCTTCTGGTGCTTTGGAAAATACATTGTTTGCCTTCTGTTGCTTTGGGAAATACATTGTCCCCCCCTTCTTTCTGGCAGCCCCTTAAAAGTCTGTTACCTATCACACTCTTGGCAAAGCATGTGAGCCATTTCCTCCTTTCAGTGGTCCATGAAAGTACATCTGTAGTACGTAGATAATAAAGTCAAAAAAGTGAAATGTTTTTATAGAACTATAGTTTTCTCATAAGTGGAAAATGAGGGGTTCTGTTGAAGCCAAACCATGGTCAAGTAGACCAACTAAAATTTCAACCACAACTGCCAGGAAAATTGTTCAGGATGCAAAGAAAACCCCATAAATAACTTCAGGTGAAATACAGTACTCTCTGAAAACATGTGGTATGGCTGTTTCAAGATAAGGAGCCACAATAAGGAGGCACTGGAAGAAAGATGGGCTGGACTTCCGGTGATGCATCGTGTTGTGGTGATACACAGGGACAACACTCTGCTCCCTGTACCGGGATTTTCGTGTCTGGTAGCCAATGGAGGCAACGTTCGGTCATGGAGGGACCAGCAGAGAGAGGGGGAACTCTTGGAGACAGTAGGGAGAGTTGCAGATCGAAGAAGAGAGCCCACAGCCTGACGCAAAAGAAGCCGGCCTTCGGGCAGACCCGAAGACGTGGCAAGCCGATCCGAAGAAGGAAGGAAAGATAAAAGGCAGTACAGCAGCAATAGGCGAGTTGTGGATGCAACCAAGTCTAGAAGATCGATAAAGATTGGGTCGGAGAGCAGTTAAATCGAAAGGAGTCTCCAGCAAGGAAGGGCTAAGCATGAAGTGCTTAGAGGTGAGAACAAGTGGCAAAGGTTTCTTTTTCCCTCCTGCACTAGGAGCAGATTGGCAGCTGAGGAAAGGAAAGATTAAAACAATAAGACTATAAGATTATAATAGAAGAGAAGGGGAGGAGGAAAACCTTTTCTTGGGAAAACTGCCTTTTGAAGATTGACACTGTGTAACTTTGATTGGGGAAAAAGATAGAATTGACGGGTGGGAGGAAGAATCATGGATGAATGACTGTGCAGATCGTATGAGGCCGCCATTATGAGAAAGAGCAAGAACGGAGACCTGAGAACTGATGCAATACTGATAAGTGATGACTAATGGGGTCATATTGGAGTCGACCCCTTCATTTTTGAGAATCCAAAATTTCTTTAATTTCAAAATGTTGTTCACCTTCAATTAGCAATGGTACAGGGGGATCAACCTGAGTTGGTCTCAAGTCGGAGGTATGTTCAGGTTTTAATAAACTAACATGGAAAACAGGGTGGATCCATCAAAG